AAACTGACCTTTTTCAGTCCTCTGGCCATTGCTGGGTTTTCCGAATTTGCTGGCATATTGAGTGCAGCACTTTCACAGCATCATCTTTCAGGATTTGAAATAGCTCAACTGGAATTCCATCACTTCCACTAGCTTTGTTTGTAGTGCTGCCTCCCAAGGCCCACTTGACTTCACATTCTAGGATGTCTGGCTCTAGGTGAGTGGTCACATCATTGTGATTATCTGGGCCATGAAGATCTTTTTTTGTACAGTTGTTCTGTGTATTCTTGCCACCTCTTAATATTTTCTGCTTCTGTTAGATCCATACCATTTCTGTCCTTTATTGAGCCCATCTTTGCATGAAATGTTCTCTTGGTATCTTTAATTTTCTTGAAGAGATCGCTAGTCTTTCCCATTCTATTGCTTTCCCCTATTTCTTCGCACTGATCACTGAGGAAGGCTTTCTTATCTCTCCTTGCTATTCTTTGGAACTCTGCATTCAAATGGGTATATCTTTCCTTTTCTCCTTTGCTTTTTGCTTCTCTTCATTTCACAGCTATTTGTAAGGCATCCTCAGACAGTCATTTTGGTTTTTTGCATTTCTTTTCCTTGGGGATGGTCTTGATCCCTGTCTCCTGTACAATGTCACGAACTTCCGTCCATAGTTCATCGGGCACTCTGTCTATCAGAGCTAGTCCTTTAAATCTATTTTTCACTTCCATTGTATAATTGTAAAGGATTTGATTTAGGTCATACCTGAATGGTCTAGTGGTTTTCCCTACTTTCTTCAGTTTAAGTCTGAATTTGGCAATAGGAGTTCATGATCTGAGCTGCAGTCAGCTCCCAGTCTTGTTTTTGCTGACTGTGTAGAGCTTCTCCATCTTTTGCTGCAAAGAATATAATCAGTCTGATTTCAGTGTTGGCCATCTGGTGATGTCCATGTGTAGAGTCTTCTCTTGTGTTGTTGGAAGAGGGTGTTTGCTATGACCAGTGCGTTCTCTTGGCGAAACTCTGTTAGCCTTTGCCCTGCTTCATTCTGTGCTCCAAGGCCAAATCTGCCTGTTACTCTAGGTGTTTCCTGACTTCCTACTTTTGCATTCCAGTCCCCTATAATGAAAAGGACATCTTTTTGGGGTATTAGTTCTAGAAGATCTTGTAGGTCTTCATAGAACCATTCAACTTCAGCTTCTTCAGTGTTACTGGTTGGGGCATAGACTTGGATTACCATGATATTGAATGGTTTGCCTTGGAGACGAACAGAGGTCATTCTGTCGTTTTTGAGATTGCATCCAAGTACTGCATTTCGGACTCTTGTTGACCATGATGGCTACTCCATTTCTTCTAAGGGATTCCTGCCCACAGTAGTAGCTATAATGGTCATCTGAGTTAAATTCCCCCATTCCAGCCCATCTTAGTTCGCTGATTCCTAGAATGTCCATGTTCACTCTTGCCATCTCCTGTTTGACCGCTTCCAATTTGCCTTGATTCATTGATCTAACATTCCTATGCAATATTGTTCTTTAGAGCGTCGGACCTTGCTTCTATCACCAGTCACACCCTTATCTTCCAACATGTACAAAAATTAACTCAAAAAAGGATTAAAGACCTAGACATAACACCTAAAACTACAGAACTCCTAGAAGAAGACATGGGGAAAAGATTTATGAAATTGAACTTGGCACTGATTTATTGGAGATGACATCAAAAGCACAGGCAACCAGGAACAAAAGCAAAACTAGACAAATGGGACTACATCAAATGCACACTCTTATTGTACATCAACAGACACAATCAACGAAGTAAAAACATAGTGTATGGGATGAGAGAAGATATTTGCAAATCATATAAGGGCTTAATATATGGAATATATAAAAATGCCTACAATTTAACAATAACAGAACAATTTAACAATAACAGAAATCAGATCATCCAGTTTTGCAGCAAAGTATTTATTAATTTATGACCATGTCCGGTGTTAGTTGCTCCGCACAGTGTCTTCATTGCTGTGTGTGGACGTCTCTCCAGGTGTGCGTGGGCTCTGGAGCATGTGGGCATGTCTCTAGGTGTGCGAGGGCTCCGGATCATCTGGGCTCTCTCATTGTGCGTGGGCTCCGGAACGTGTGGGCTGTCTCGTGCGTGGGCTCTGGAGTGTGCGGGCATCTCTCCCATTGTGTGTGGGCTCCGGAGTGTGCAGGCGCCTCTCCCGTTGTGTGTGGGCTCCAGAGCGTGTGGGCGTCTCTCTCTTGTGCGTGGGCTCTGGAGCGTGCGGGCGTCTCTCCAGGTGTGCGTGGGCTCTGGAGCGTGTGGGCGTGTCTTCCGTTGTGTGTGGGCTCTGGAGCGTGTGGGCGTCTCTCCAGGTGTGCGTGGGCTCTGGAGCGTGCGGGCGTCTCTCCAAGTGTGCGTGGGCTCTGAGCGGGCAGGCGTCTCTCCAGGTGTGCGTGGGCTCTGAGCGGGAAGGCGTCTCTCCAGGTGTGCGTGGGCTCTGGAGCATGCGGGCGTCTCTCCAGGTGTGCGTGGGCTCTGGAGCGTGCGGCGTTTCTTTCTCGTGCGTGGGCTCTGGAGTGTGCGGGCTCTCTCTTGTGACATGTGGGCTTAGCTGCCCATGGCATGTGGGATCTCAGTTCTCCAACCAGAGATTGAACCCTTGTCCCCCCAACTGGAAGATGAATTCTTAGCCAATGGACCAGCAGGGAAGTCCCAAATCATCCAGTTTTAAAAATGGACAGAGGCTATTCATTCTATTCATTTTTGAGAGTTTGATGTTGACAGTCCAATAAAAAATTTTAATTAAAATTATTACTACTTAAAAACTGTAATATACAGTGGAATATATGTAACTTGTGGGGCAATCAGAGCTCTTGTGTACTGTGGGTGGGATTGATTTACAAGTCTCCTGTAGATGTGCTGTCATACTTTAAAAAATAAAAACCAAAACAGAACAAAACAAATGGACAGAGGACTTGCATAGACATTTCTACAAGATGATATACAAATATGAGCAGGCCTATGAAAAGATTTCCAATACCATTAATCATCAGAGAAATGCAAAGCAAAGCCACAGTGAGATACCAGCTCACACTCGTTAGGATGGCCACTATTTAAAAAGCTACAACAGTAGCAGGAAAAAAGTATTGGTGAGGAAATATGTGGAGCAATTTGATCCCTTGTGTGCTGTGGGTGGGATTGTAAAATGGTGACCTAACTATGAAGATCAGTATGGAATGTCTAAAAAAAATTAAAAATAGAACTATCATATGATCTAGAAATTTCACTTCTGGGTCAGTTCAGTTCAGTTCAGTCGTTCAGTCATGTCCGACTCTTTGTGACCCCATGGACAGCCACACTTGTGGGTATAAACCCGAAATAATTGAAAGCAGGGTCTCAAAGAGATATTTGCACAGTCGTATTCAGAGCAGCATTATTCACAGGAGCGAAGAGGTGGAAGCAACCTAAATTTCCACTGATGGTCCAATGGATAAACAAAGTGTGGTCCATACGTATGACGGAGCATTTTCACCCCCCAGAATGAAGGAAATTCTGTCACATACGACAACATGGGTACATCTCAAGGGCCTCATCCTGAGTGAGGTAAGCCAGTCACAAACAGACACATACTCTATGCTGCCACTAATATGAACGATGCAAAGTGGTCCAATTCATAGAAGCAGAATAGAATGGATGACTGTTATGAGGGGCTGGACGGGAGGGGGAGATGTTATTTAATTTCTATAGAAGTTTCAGATTTGCAAGATTGGAAGTTTCTGGAGGTCTGTTTCAGAATGATGTGACTCTGCTTACTGCCATTGACATGTGCACTTAAAACTGGTTAAGATGGTAAACTTGATGAGCTTTAAAAGAAATGTGTTTTTGGCCATGCCACATGGCCCGTGGGCTCTTAGTTCCCTGACAAGGTACCAAACCCCTGCCCCCTGGAGTGAAAGCCGAGTCCTAACCCCTGGGCCACTGAGGAAGTGGGGCTCGAGAGCATTCCAGAAGTTGCTGCTGGTCCCCCAGCAGGAAAGGGGCCGAGCTGGGACTTCAGCTCAGGTGGTCTCTCCCAGAGGCCTGTGCTCAGAACCTCCACACCTCTACCAGGAAGGATGAGCAGGATCTGCAACCTCCACACCTCTACCGGGAAGGATGAGCAGGATCTGCAACCTCCACACCTCTACCGGGAAGGATGAGCAGGATCTGCAACCTCCACACCTCTACCTGGAAGGATGAGTAGGATCTGCAACCTCCACACCTCTACCGGGAAGGATGAGCAGGATCTGCAACCTCCACACCTCCACCGGGAAGGATGAGCAGGATCTGCAACCTCCACACCTCTACCGGGAAGGATGAGCAGGATCTGCAACCTCCACACCTCTACCGGGAAGGATGAGCAGGATCTGCAACCTGCACACCTCTACCTGGAAGGATGAGCAGGATCTGCAACCTCCACACCTCTACCGGGAAGGATGAGCAGGATCTGCAACCTCCACACCTCCACCGGGAAGGATGAGCAGGATCTGCAACCTCCACACCTCTACCGGGAAGGATGAGCAGGATCTGCAACCTCCACACCTCTACCGGGAAGGATGAGCAGGATCTGCAACCTCCACACCTCCACCGGGAAGGATGAGCAGGATCTGCAACCTCCACACCTCTACCGGGAAGGATGAGCAGGATCTGCAACCTCCACACCTCTACCGGGAAGGATGAGCAGGATCTGCAACCTCCACACCTCCACCGGGAAGGATGAGCAGGATCTGCAACCTCCACACCTCTACCGGGAAGGATGAGCAGGATCTGCAACCTCCACACCTCTACCGGGAAGGATGAGCAGGATCTGCAACCTGCACACCTCTACCTGGAAGGATGAGTAGGATCTGCAACCTCCACACCTCTACCGGGAAGGATGAGCAGGATCTGCAACCTCCACACCTCCACCGGGAAGGATGAGCAGGATCTGCAACCTCCACACCTCTACCTGGAAGGATGAGTAGGATCTGCAGAGGCGGGGGAGGAAGGGGTGAACGTTAGAGGCTGGGGGAACACTGTGAGCCAGGCAGGGAGGAGTGTGCTTGGGGAGGGGACCTCATTCCATTCAGGGCAAGACCCTGGGGCTCGCTGGGCAGATCGGAGCAGGGGGTGAGGGTCCTGGGCTTCATGACTGGGGGCGGAGAGGGCAAGGGGACCCCAAGGGACAAGGCCTGGGGCATCCGAGGTCTCAGGGACTGGGATGCACACTTTGGGGCTGGAATCCCAGCTTCTGGTTCATTGCTCCGTCGTGGAGAGGGTCCCATCTCTTCTCGGGCCCCCCACCTAGGTGCTGGGGCTCGAGTCCCAGGGCTGTGGGGAGGATGAAATGGCAGGCTGTGGGTGAAGGAGCCAGCCCACCACTGCGGGGGGTGGCAGACCACAGACATGGCTGCTCCCGCTCTGGCCTTGGAATGTTTTTCTCACGGAAAAACATGTCTTCCTCCACAGATCTGAGCACCCTGCCCACATGTGACAGCCAACCTGGGGCTTCTCTTGGTTTAACAATGGGCAAACGGCCTTCAGTCACGCACCTGCATTTTCATTCAAAACGCGTGGTTGCTACAGCAAAGTTCAGCGACCCAGACTTGGGCGCAGGACGTCAGCCTCTCCAAGTACAAGAAGGACCGCTCTGCTGTCCGCAGACCTGTGGGGGCCGGAGCTGACCCGAGAGGCTCGACTGTAGGCACGCGCAGAGACCGGGTGAGAAGTGGGTCCCAAGCGCCGGGTTTCAGAGCCGCACCAGCTTCTCCTCCCAACTGCCTCTCTGGACTTGGCCCTCAGCACTGAGTCTTTCTGGATGATTCCACCGGCCCGGGCAGACAGGCCCCAGAGGGAGTGTGTTCAATGCATTTTTCTTAAAAGAGTCAAAAGACAAAGGTTCATTCTTGTCTTTGGCCTCAGAGACTTGCAGACTAAAGAATAATTCTAACAACATAAAGGCAGAGTCTGAGAGAATTAAAAGCAGGATTGATCCTTTTGGAATCACTGGTTGAGAATGAAAGCCCCAGATGACCACTATCAACACATACAATTTTTTTTTTTTCAGAAATGAAAGAACGCAAGAAATAAGCATAAAACTCAAAAAGCATAAAACAAACGTATAGCAGATCAAACATACTCAGTCGGGTCATAAACAAATAAAAAGGCATAAGGTCTTTACTAAAGGAAAACCATTCTCACAGTGAGTTTAAAAATATTCACTCCGGCATCCACCCAACCACCCAATGAATCTTAAAGTGGATCCTGAAGCAGCCTGGTGACCTAGCTCCAGCCCCACCCTGTCTCAGTCAGAGACAGTCTTGATTGCCTGGGGACCCAGCGGAAGACACACTTATCCTTGCTGGTAACATGAATCCATTCATCTACCATCCATCCATTGATCCACCATATTTTTATCCACCATCCACCATCTACCCGAACATCCATCCACCATCTACCCATCCATCTGTCTAGCTACTGCCTATCTGTTCACCCACCTATCTATCTATCCACCCAGACATCCGCCCACCATCATCCATCCATCCATTCAGTCATTTATTATTAAACACCTCCTGAGCATCCTTCTGTGTTAGGCTCCAGGATTCAGAGATAGCTCTGCTGTGGTTCTTACCTTAAGTCTTTCAGAGCATACTTGGTGAAGAAGAATCTGTAAACGGACATACTGACAGGTGTGGTTGGTGTTGTGGGGTCAAATGAAGGGCATATCTGCTGGGGAATCAGGAGAGCTTCCTGGAAGAGGTGAATTGTGTAAGCTGGGCCTTAAGTGATGACTGAATGCTGGTCTGGGAGGAAAGGGGCTGGGGAACGGGCCTCCTGATTAGAAGGAACAGAACACACAGAGTTGGCAAGGAGTGCAGAAGGATCCTGAAGTTGGGCCAGGAAGTAGCAGAAGATGGGGCTGAACAGGTTGAGATTAAGGGACATAACCTGGGGTCATTGGTTTCAGGCTGAGCAGCTTGGGCTTTATATTGTGGGCAGTGGGAAACTCTGAAGTCTTTAAAATGCGAGTGATCTGATCACATTTGCCTTTTATAAATCTTACTCAGAGGATGGGAGTGTGGAGGATGGCCCAGGAGAGAGATAATGGGCCTGGGTCCTGGCATGATAGTGAGGGTCCCAAATCTTCAACGTGCTGGAAAAAGCTTGTGAACATATGGGTCAGGTTGCTGTTACGGAAACAAGATGTTTCCCTTCCTGTGTGAGCAGGGTGGGCATGGAGCAGCCCAGCAATTACCTTGGGTTTATAGACGTGAAGGTGGAGTTGGAGTGCCTAAATGAAATTGCCAATGAGATGTATGTCACCAATCTCGTCTGACTGACACTTTGCCCAGAGAAGGCCATTGTGTCAGGGATGAGTGCAGATGGAGCAGCCCTTTACATCCTGAGGGCGGGGTGGGAAGGCGCCGAGTTCATTAAGCCTGTTAGGTCAATTACACCAATGGGACAAGTGACCTCACATAAGTCTGCATGCAGCAGTGACTTGACAGCAGAAATGTGTGAGAGACTGAGAGGAAAAGAGTCTCAGTTCCAGAGCAGGAGGATCTCTTTCAGAGAACCTATTACAACCTCATTTGATGGGTGAAAAAAACAGTAAACAACAACAAAATAGTCATAGCTATGATGGTGGTGATGATGCTGATGACAGTGATGGTGATGATGATTGTGCTTGTGGTGGTGATGACACTGATAGTGGTGATGACGGTCATGGTGTTGATGGTAATGGTGGTGGTGATGATGATGGTAGTGGTGATGGTGGTGATGAGGTTGGTGACAGTGATGGTGATGATGGTGGTGATGGTGGTGATGTTGATGACAGTGATGGTGATGGTGGTGATGGTGTTGATGGTGGTGATGGTGGTGATGGTGGTGGTGGTGATGGTGGTGATGGTGGTGATGGTGGTGGTGATGATGTTGACGACAGTGATGGTGATGATGATGGTAATGGTGGTGATGATGATGGTAGTGGTGATGACGGTGATGGTGTTGATGGTAATGATGGTGGTGGTGATGGTGGTGATGGTGGTGGTGATGGTGGCGATGGTGTTGATGGTAATGATGGTGGTGATGGTGGTGATGGTGGTGATGTTGATGACAGTGATGGTGATGATGATTGTGCTTCTGGTGGTGATGACACTGGTAGTGGTGATGACGGTGATGGTGTTGATGGTAATGGTGGTGGTGATGATGATGGTAGTGGTGATGGTGGTGATGAGGTTGGTGACAGTGATGGTGATGATGATGGTAATGGTGGTGATGATGATGGTGGTGGTGATGGTGGTGATGGTGTTGATGGTAATGATGGTGGTGATGGTGGTGGTGATGATGGTGGTGATGGTGGTGATGTTGATGACAGTGATGGTGATGATGATTGTGCTTCTGGTGGTGATGACACTGGTAGTGGTGATGACGGTGATGGTGTTGATGGTAATGGTGGTAGTGATGATGGTGGTGATGAGGTTGGTGACAGTGATGGTGATGATGATGATGAAGAAGATGATGATGATGAAGATGGTGACAATGATAATGGTGATGGTGGTGATGATGGTGATTATGATTATGGTGATGATTGTGGTAATGGTGGTGATGATGGTAGTGGTGATGACACTGATGGTGGTATTGATGGTAATGATGGTGATGATGATGATGGTGATGATGATGATGGTGGTGATGATGTTGACGACAGTGATGGTGATGATTGTAATGGTGGTGATGATGATGGTAGTGGTGATGACCGTGATGGTGGTGCTGATGGTAATGATGGTGATGATGATGATGCTGGTGATGATGGTGGTGATGATGATGATGCTGGTGGAGGTGATGGTGGTAGTGGAGGTGGTGATAGCGATGGTGATGACTGTTAACATTTTTATTGTGCCAGCTGTTCTCTGGTCACTATTGAAAACATTTCCTAAATTAACTCATTTAATCCTTACAAAAATTCTCTGAGGAGAGAATATCATTCCTGTTCTTCGTGTGGGGTCCCTGAGGCACAGAGAGGCTAACGTGTCTTGCCCCATGTTGCACAGCAAACCAGGGCTGGACACCGACCAGCATCCTCATTATCCAGCAGTTTATGATGGAGGCAGAAAACATTTTGGAAAAAATTGTTTGCCCTCAGGCAAGGATGAGATGATCATTCTAAGTGACTGGTGATTCTGCAGTGTTTGCCCTTGATGTGTACCTAGGCTGGGAATCCAGGCATTTTATGGAGAATGGGGGGGGAGACTCGGGGAGGGTGGTGAAGGCTTAGAAAGAACTGCTCCAAACTGCATTCATTCTGAGTGGTTTCAGGGGAAGACAGAGCATTTTGGGCTCAATATAAAGAAAAATTTTAACCCCACAGATCCAGGATGGGGATAAAAGGATCATGTAGGGATTCAGTGAGCTTCTGGCTTCAGTGGTGTGTAAGGAGAGCCTAGTGATCATGGTCTAAGGGTTTGAGTTTGGTGACTTCTGTGACCACTTTCAACTTTGGGATTGTATTGTTCCCATTTCAGAGATGGGAAAACTGAGGCTCCATGGGTGACTTGTCCGTGGATGTTCTTCCCATCTAGCCACTGCTCAGAGTTGACTGATGGGCATGCCTCTTCTCTACCTCTCATGTTTCCACAAAGAGGGACTTCCTTTTGTGTAACACTCCTGAACCCAGATGAGGAAGGGAGACGTGTTCTGCAAACCTAATGCTCTGGGTGCTGAGGTCCTGCTCAACGTGATCTGGCCCCTTCTGGGGTCTCAGGGACCAAGTGGCTCATCAGGGAGGGCATCCAGGCAGGGCATGGGGTCAGATGCTGTGTGACCTTGGGTAGACCAGTTGCCTGCCCTGAGCATGGGTCCCTCGCCTATAAAGCAGAGCCGCGTGAAGATGAGATATGAGTTGTCAAAGCTTATGGGTGTTAGTTGAATGAATAAGTGTTGGCTGGGAGATGTGTCTGTACCGCAGTGCCCTGACTGGGCAGTTTCCCCCCAAGGACTTTCTGCTCCCCAAGCCCCCCTCCCAGGGCACCCCAGGCTGAGAGGCTAGAGGGCCCCTAAACAGAGCATCCAGGACCCTGGCTTTCCCCAGGACGGGGCCCTTGCCCGCGGGTCTCTGCTCCCCACCCCCAACCCCTCTGGCCCTGCCTGTCATTTCTGGCTGTGGTCGTCCATTCCTCACATTTCCTGGCTCCTCTTTCATCTAAACAGCTGGCGCTATTTGTTCTGGGTGATTTCCCTTATTTATTGCCGCATTTTCGGGAGGCACATAACTCTGTCTTCCAGCCATTTG